CGTAACGTAACGTAACGTAACGTAACGTAAGTACGTAACGTAACGTAAGTAACGTTAGTAACGTACGTACGAAGAACGTAAGAAGTAAAGAAGAAGAAGAGAGAGAGAGAGAGAGAGAGAGAGAGAGAGAGAGGTGTGAAATGGGCTTCATAAACACAAACAAGGGAAATACAGAGAGATGAAATGCATTTCACGACACAAACCTGGGAAGAGAAAGCATGTTAAAATTTTTATGAAACTAGTGAAGCAAGCTGAAAGGATAAACAAGCCTAAATTAAGCTTTAGGAAAGTGGAAAGGGGACCCAAATACACAATGTACTTTCAAAAAGAAAAGAAAAATCCAATATGTAGAAGTTCTCATGTCCATAATGTGGAAGCTAAAATTGGATAATTTCTGAATTTTTTTAAAATGTGATGAAACTTTTATAAGTTTTCATGTAGAAAACTCCTGGTTCTTTGTTACATGCTTGTGTTCATGTTTCTCCATCCTACTTCTTTAAGAAGTGTCACCGCTAGGCCCTCTTGTCCCTTTTGAATGTTTTAGTGTTTACTGTAGTTAGCAGGATCGGACTGTCCACCGAGCCGAATTGCTGAGAGGTCTGGTCCGATAAAAATTAATTTGGTCTTGAGACTAATTTTAAATAAAGAAAATATAATAATAATAGCTTTAAACTGTGAAATATGTTATATGAAAAGTTATCCAATCTTGTTAAGTTGGACCAACAAGTTAAAAATGGATGGGCTAACTAGTCAAAATTGATTAAAACATTAGTTTTATAATAAGTGTTATCAGAATCAAACTAACCAATGAACTAACGAGGGATTTAATCCAGTCAAAACCGGTCCGATCATTAGTAAAAATAGTTGGATTGAATTAGAAAAAATAAAATAAATAATAATAATTTAAAAATACAGAAACTTATAAAAATACAGATGAGCAATTAATTATTTAGCATTTTTACCCATATCTTTTGATTTATTTCAAAATATCCATAAAAAATACTCAGCATCATGAGTTGGAATAATTGTAATTGTAAAAAGGTAAGTAATTAAATTGTTAAAAAGTTCGATGTATTTTGTGCAATTTTGCTAGACTTGTCTAAACGATCAAAACTAGGTTGTCCAACTAGCCAAACATTGGTTTTAATTGGCCTTTTTGGTTAATTTTGTTTTGGACAAGCAACAACAAAACTTGTTCACGTCTGACGGTTACACCAACTGGTCTGATCTTGATACCTATGGTTTTGATCAGTTTTGAACCAAACACAATTTCTACTCCACACCAAACCAGTCAAAGCACCACTCAATTGTCCGACCGACCATTCCAGCCAGGATACCCATTATTGATAGCACTGGTATGGTCCTAACTATGGATCAAGAGCAAAAAAAATCTTATTCTTGGACTGTGTAAATCTTATTGTAGGACTATGTGTTAGTGTTTGTGGAGGGGTAAAATCGAAAATTACCAATCCATATTTTATGAAACACAGCCTGCTGATATGGCTAATAAAAATGGATTTTTTAAGTATTAAATATGGGAGAGATGAGATGAAGAGGTAAAATGAAGATGAGCAGGCATAACTTACTATACATTTATTCATTTGGGCAAATTTTTTTTTATGAGCATGTTATTTAAGAGTTTTTTAGACGCAAAATTTTGGAATCACCAAATGAGTATTTTGATAAATAAATTTGAATGTTGAGTTTTTAAAAATGTAGATCTGATATGACTGTCTAACAAACAGATTATCTTTGTTCTATCTTAAGACATCAATTTTTCAGGCACATGTCGATTGCGAACCATTTAGGTTAAATCGCTAGATTGAAGAGGTAACATCCTTAAAATTTGAGGTCCTAAATATATTTCCTCAAGAGGAGGCTTTAAGTTTACTGGAGAATGTGAAGGAGTGAATGAAATACTCTATGGGTGTATACAATCTTTCGACAATAATAATCATAAACACAAAATAAGAAGACTGTTAACATTCTAATAGAACAATGAGCTAAGATCATGTCTAAAGCAAAGTTATTAAATCCAGATCGGACCAGCCGACCGGCGCTTCAGCCGAAAGAACGACGACTAGAACCTTGTCCGGTTTGTTGTGACACGTGAGCACTAATAAAAATAAATTATTTTTACAAATATTTACTTTTACAATTATTATAGAGCCTTTCACAAAGTAAGGTTTTTTTCCTTTTTTTTTAATTACCTTTTTGTGATAAAAATTACGTATAATTATAATATAATTATAAGTTTGAAGAAAAAATATATTATTTTTATCAATATTTAATTTTTATAACTATTATAGAAACATATGTGTATTTATAACTATTATAGAAACATATGTGTATAGAAATAAAAAGGAGAGAGAGAAAAATCATATTTTTTAAATAATTTTTTAAAAAATAATATAATGATACAATTATAGAATCTAATTATAACTGCAACATTATAATAAAATTTAATTATTCTTACTAATACCTACTTTGTACAATTATTATAGAAATACAATACAAAAAACTCATCCAAAACACGGTAATACACTGATTTCTTAAATTCAAATCCTACACAATTGGAACTTTAAACCACATGAGCCAGAGAGAACAACTTTTTCTCTCTCTAAGAGAAGGTCATCATCGTTCAGGACTCAAAGTCCTTGACATTCTAACACTATCTGGTAATGTAACTACGATTCGTTTCACACAATCACGCATAAAGAAGAAAATGTATTGTTCACATCAGTATTTAAAAAAACGTCGAGTCGAACTGGACTCGCCCGGTTCGACTCGGGAATCGCCATGAACGGATCGAATCGGCGAAAAAAATGGGAATCGTCCGGTTCTAGAGAGAACCGGACGATTCTGTACAGTGACTCGCCGATTCACTGTACGGAATTGGCGAGTTTCGTACGGTATTTTTTTTTTTTTTTTTTTTTTTTTTTTGTAATTCAGGAGAGATTTTTTTGTAATACTTGATCGATTTTTTTGTAATCCATGATCGAATTATTTTATTTTTTTGTAATCCATGATCGAATTGTTTTTTTTTTTTGTAATCCATGATCGAATTTTTTGTTTTTTTATTGTTTGTAACCCATGATAGAATTTTTTGTAATCCATGATCGAATTTTTTGTAATCCATGATCGAAATGTTTTTTTTTTTTCTTTGTAATCCATGATCGAATTTTTTGTTTTTTTTTTTTTTAGTTTATCCCATGATAGAATTTTTTGTAATCCATGATCGAATGTTTTGTAATACATGATCGAAATGTTTTTTTTTTTTTGTAATCGAT